TGTGACTTTATGTGAGTTTTTTATTGTAGCTAAAAAGTTAGACGTGACTATTTCTGAAAGCTTTCTACTGTAATAAAACTCAAATTCTAAACTCAAATCAGTAAAATGAACATGGTCTAAAATCTAAAATGTAATTTCGACATTCAAATTTCTGATTTTTATATATTCTATCCTTGTTGGTAATAGGTCCTAGGAGCCTTTTGGTACTTTTTTTTTCCATTCAACGAGAGGTGGAGTGCTGGCATCATGCCTGCAGTAATAGTCATAATAATAATGGATGTCTTTCTAGTGTTTTTAATAGCTGCAATGTGAATAGACTTGGCACTTCGAGGAATATTTTGGCATTTGTGAATGATTTTTGCCCTATAAATCCACCAAATTCGACGGTCTTCGACTTTGGAATATTTCTTGGAGCCATTCAATCTGGTACTCTTGGGTCAATGCATATTTTGAATAAGTTGTTGCAATGCTTCGGCTGGGGCATACGAAACCTAAGGTTTGTACGTACATATTGCACCTTTTCAAAAAAAAAAAAAAAAAAGGTTTTGACATGGGAAATTCTATATTTTGGCATTAAACATTTATGAATTATCAGCAAATACTATTTTAGATTTCATCATATTATTTCTATTCCTTTTTCATGAATTTGATTAATTAATCATGATCATATTATAAGAAGCACATATGACTTTCTTTATTTTTCATGATTCTCCAGTGAATAGATAACAGTTTGGTTTCTAGATTGTTTACATTCTATCGCGGTTTTGTCGCAGTTCGTTCGGTTCAAATCTCCAAACAAGTTCAAATGCAAGGGAGACCATCTTTGCAAACTTCACTTCTATGCTTGGCTTGCTTCTATTTTTATATCTCATTGGAAATGTTCAGGTCCGCGCTCAGTCTTTTTTTTTTTTAATGCAAAATATTTTCTTCAAGCTTTGGGGGGTCTGTCTACTAATTATATTAATATCCATTATAAATCAAAAAGGGCTTATAAATTTTTATGTTTTTTTTTCTTTGATTGTAAAATATAAAGTTAGGATGAAATCGTATAGCTTGCCGTTGCCCTTGTTTTTATTTTTATTTTATTTTTAGCCTATTCGTCATAAGCCTTATAGAGTCATAACCTAATCTAAATCCATAATCAAACTTAAGAAATTCAACCAATCTCTTCTTAGATTCAGAAAGGAGCAGCCATAACAGGGACTTCTAAAAAAAGGCATTTATACCATTGCTGTAATGCCCTAAATTAACCTAACTCTCGGAAATCAGGAGGATTTTTTTTTTCTTAAGGAAAAAACCAGGACTATTGATCAAATTCGGGTTCAGAAAGCCCAAGGGTACATTGATGATTAAATGGCGCAGACGTAAATGGCTAAAACTATACACTATTGATTTCCATCTGTTACAATAAAGCATATACTCAATCATCTTTGCTCTAAATTAAATTATCTTTTTCGGACAGTTATATATGCAGTTTTTGGATGGAAGAGGAAAAACGAAAAGATAAAATGAACCGGAGAAAAATGAAGATAAATGAGAAAGAAGAGTACATAGATAGCATTGGGCGTTTAGCCCATCATCTTCGTGAGCCTCACGAAGTAAAGACAGTGATCATCACATGCATACAGGAGGCATGTTTAGATGACGAAATTCTCAACGTTGACAAACTGAAAAGGAAACTGCAACCGTATTTTTCTCCAGAAATGCGCCGTCTTGGCTTGAATGCTCTAGACGAAGTGAGTTTTGCCTTGTGATGCTTATACATTCTTGAATTTTTCATGAAACTGATGAGCTAATTCCTTAATTTGTTGTGCCACACAAACAGATCGAGGAACAAACTGCAGAACTATGGATACTAAAAGGTGGCATCCCAGCATATATCGGGGCGATGGTAATGCGACATGTGCATGACAGATTAGTGAACCAAAATGACAATGCTGATCTGGTGTCTATTCTCTCTGTTCTTCCGAGCGGACGTAATAGTGGTAGCAAGAAAGACCTCGGCTGGGAGACACACCTCTGCTTGGAGACACTAAGGAAGGCACATTCCTCATCAGCATGTGATCTTTAAGAAATACATATTTTCGCAAAATAACAAAACATAGATCACATTGTTTAATTTGTTAGTTTAGCAACGCTAATCTTGTTTAATCCAATGAGCTAGGTGCCAAAGCTTCCATATTGTCGATGAGCGACTGATGATTTATTGATCTTTAGAAATGGTTCCATCCAAATACATCATTCGAGAGGGAGAACCGATTGGTCATATTTACGCTTTTCGTCACGCAAGGCGTTGTATTGATCTTTGGAAATGGTTCCATCCGGAGCATTGCGAAAGGAGATTTCTGCGGAGAGGAACTTCTGGCGTGGAAATTTGAATCGGCCTCATATTCTAACCCTCCGCTCTCGACCACAGATGTCAAGTCTCAGACCAAAGACATCATTATGCAGTCTCAAATAATATGTCTTAGACACACAACAAGATGAGAGTTCGATCTCCATTTTCAACAACAAATTATGACAAAACAGCCAATTCTTACACCACCACTAGTTTTGTGTGGACTTATAAAACCACGTAAAATTCAGGCATTGTCTAATTATAAGTACCTAGCAAAATTAAAGCTTTCTATTATAATATTCGTCATCATGTTTATCCCAAAAGGTTGAAGCAAGCGTCTAATTGATCATGTAATTGTATGCGATTTCTCACCGGAGCGAGTCGTGCAAATACAATCAGCGCTTGGCAAATTATTACTTATATCTTCCTGATATTATGATGTAAGTATATGATATAATTCGAAGACGAGGTAGAAGTTAGAACTACCTCTATTATTATGAAGTACCTTTCGTAATTGATCAATGATAAATATTAGTATTTAACAAGTTTCTTGGAAATGAATTATGGTAAGCGGCGTCTTTTTCTTTAAGATCAACTACGTAGTATATGACTATCTGTTTCCATGATTCATATGACCGTTTGAATCTTGCACTTTACAAGTAGGCCCTAGGTATATTAAAGAAATCTTTTTAACTAATCATGTCATATGTATGGTTAGGTGACAAGTAAGGAATCAATATTATGGATGTCTAAGCGACAATCTTTGGATCTCAACCATAGAGAAATTGAGATTGAGATCACCAGTTTGATATCTAATCAACTATATTATGATACATTATGAGCACTTAACAGGAACCTTATAAAAGTCAACTCAATATCATTGCAATTTTTTTTTAAATGATATGATACGATTCAAATTGGTTAGACGTCATTTGAGATACTAAAATTAGATAGAGAATCTGAATTCAAGAAATTGAAAACATGACAGTATAGTTTTCTCACATACATGAGAATGAGGGCACTCAAGCGGTCGATAAATTAATTAGCCAATTTCAGTTCTTAATTCAGTTTCAGCATATGAATGGTGGTCGGATAGTCCTAATACAATTGCATTCCAGCTGCTATTAAGGATCTAACGGACTTGCCAAGCCGTAGATTGAGTTCTTTTACTATCATGTATTAAAGTAAGAAATTTTAGGGCATGACACAATCCGCAGCATCTAATTTTGTTGTATTACATGATGTTCAAGATTCTAGTCAGTGTGCACTTTCATAGATTTGTTCTATATGCATTCATTTATCACATCGAGCTTGGAAGGCGAGCCCAAAATATGACTAGAATTTTAATTGGACAAAACATAATGCTAGTGTGTTTTGCTTACGTTTGATTTGATTTGATTAATATATTAAGAATATTTTTAGCTATTGTGCCTCCAAATTTTTTTTGTGTTTTTGTCACTTTATTAAAATTTTCCTTTACATAGTCGCTAAATTTACAAAAATGGGCTTAAATTTTGAGGAGCTACTAGGTGCAATTTATTTATTTATTTTTCTTTCCTTAATCCTTTACCAACCAGCATGTGGCTTTGTGATGGTAATAAAACTTCTTAAATGAACTAATTATGCATGTATTTCCCCTTCTGGGATTGACTTGACTGTTAATGAATTATAACTAGGTAATTAAGGTGACGTTTGGTTCATGAATTCAGAACCATAATTCATTACTTTGATTTTTAAAATTTAAATTTTTTATGAGAGAAAAATATTGTAGCGAATCAAGAACTATGATCTTAAATCAAGTCAGAACTCTCAATATAAACGGAGCATAAATTAGACGTGTGTAACATAAAATTTGTGTACTTGTATTGATTATTCATTCATGCAAATGTTGTACCTTGGATTCTCTTAATTAATTTCTTAGCGCATTGCTTACGTCCATGCAAAATACGTCAGCGAAAAGAAATATCTTACGAGTAGTACTCTGATCATGAACTTGTCAATTGGGCTCGAATTTTAAGGCATTATTAAGTCTAATTTTCATATGTTACACGAGGTTCAACCATGATCGGAATATTTCCACAATAATTGTCGTCTTCAATAATTGTTCACACTTTGATGCTTTTTACTACTTTAATTAGCTTTTTATCTTCTATCTTTTCTTGACTTGGACTTGTGTGAGAAAATGAGTTGGATGTGGATAAATATTTCAAAAGCAGCCGGGAAAGCAAGAATAATACTTGTCGATGCATGGGGCCACCATTAATATTTTGAATTTTATAGGAAGAAGTTACTTTAATTGGCCTTCAACTATTCTTCAATAACAAACACTATTATATTAGGTTGTGGAGCCAAAAACTTATGTTTGGTAGAATGGAAAAGAGAAACGAAGGAAGTGGGGAAAGAGATTAGTGGATGAATAGTGTAGAATTATTCTGTAAGAAGAAGAATAATTAAAAAAAAAAGGGAATGAAAAAATATAATAAAAAATTCTCACATAAAATCACATTTCAATTCGAATCAACGAACTAAACGGGCACTTAATTTTTCAAGTGAGTTGATATGATTATATGAATAAAATAATAATTATACAAATTCTCATTTTCTTTCCATCATATCTACGAAACAACCTAAGCGAAAACTTTCCATCATTCCTAATCTTTTAATCTCTTACATATTTTCTTTCTATCCCCTTTCCCCGATCCTTTCTACCAAACTTGAGTGATTCTAGCCAAATTCAGTTTTCGTTCACTCTTTGCTTTATTTAATACTCTTTTTATAGCTCTCTCTTGCTGCTCTATTAGAAGGCGTCATTTTATTGAGTACGTATTATAGTTTGAAGCTTCTCTTTTATGTAATTAATTCATTCTCTGTGAAGTATTAGTACTTAGCATTTTAGTTTCTTTTCCTATTTATGTTTCTTCCTTTTTTTTCTGCTCTGGTTTTCTCGCTGATCTTTCTCTTGTCGTTTTGCTGTCTTTAAGCCTCAAAAGAATGTCTTGCAATCACTGCTAGAGATGCTTAATTGCGTAAATGACTAAATTTGAAGAGATACTCTCATTTGACGACTGTTTTCTCTTCTAATTTTGTCATGTGCTTTAATTTGTTATATTCTCATTTGAGATTGTTGCTTTGGGCTTGTGCTCGATTCTCAAATTATTTTCGTTTTTGTGCCCTTTTTTTTTTTTTTTTTTTTTTTATTTAGGCAGTTGGCTTGACCCTTTGGATAATCACATATATACTTCTTTTTATTTTTTCTTTTTAGATTAGATATTTTAACGAGGCATGTCGATGGTGTTACAGAGTTTTTGTTCTTGCTGATTCTTATGGAAAGCCCTCCCCGCACTTAGATCAGTTTATTTTTAGTTGACATGTTTGATTTTGGCCTCTGGCTTATATTTGTATATTTTATTTTTATGTTATTTTTTTTAATAACATTATAGTTTGTTTTAAAGATTCTCTTACCAAATAGGTATCCACTTACTTGGGATGTGTTCTTTTAAGTTGTAGATATTATATATGCTTAAATATATAAATATATATATATATATATTAATTTATCCCCCTCAATAAGGCTACTAGCTAGCGAGCTAATATTGTTTGTGTTTTAGTGATTTTTCTCAAGTAGAACGTTGAAGGCTACTACTTGATTTGCATATTTGGTTATGAATTCTGTTTCCTTTCTATTTATGTCTTTGTTTCTTTGTATTGTGCAATAGAGTTATGGATACTACGAGTTAAAATTGTCGTCGTGGCTAAAAATTATAAATTATATATCCACATGTATATGATTTTTTTTTTTTTTTTTTTTTTTTTTTTTTTTTTTTTTCCCTTTTTTAAATAATTTTTTTTTTTTTTTTTTTTTTTTTTTTTTGCTTTCTGACCATTCTAATAGTAACTCTTAAATTTCCTTATATGAAGGTGTCAATTAATATACAGAAACCTGTGATACTCAAAGCTCAAGTTGTGTAAAGACCACATCTCATTGAGAATTTGCAGGTTATTCTGAAATTCCTTTTAATTGTTTTGATTTCGTATTCAAATTATTATATCTCAGTTTCTCTGTCCTTATAATTGATTTTTGGATCATGGATTTTTTTTTTTCTCTTGACTCCATATTTAATTTTTTATGTGATCTGGGCTGATGATAAGAAAGAAAACTTCTAATTTACAATATAAATCTTCATATTTCTGCAGGAGACAACACATCATGGATGATTCGGAAGGGAAAGTATCTGTGAGGTTCGTTGACTCTACTACTCGTTCTTCTGTTTTTATTTATTTTTTTATTTTTTTATTTTTTGCTGAAGCTAATTCTTATGTTTAATTGTGTATCTATTCATGTATGGGAGACTTAAATTGCAGAAGATACTCCCTGTTTTGTGTCATGTAGAATAAGAAATGTAATTAAATATGTACTATCCGCGATTATCACTGTATAATTACTAGAAATATATATATATATATATATATAATTTGTGCCTCCCAACTAGTCTAGCATAAATGAGATTGGAATTAAGCTGACACAATTTTCCTGTTTAGTTTTGGTATCTTAAATAGTGTCTAACTGCCATATTATAACACGTTATTTAACAATTTAAAATTAAATATTTCATGTTTTAAAATCTGGATCCTTAAAATGGTTTTACATAATATAATTAGTTATTAGGCAATACTAAAAAATTGGACAAGAAATCTGAATTCGTAGTGATACATAACATTACTTTATGGAACGACATGGATGTCTTTTCATTTTTTTTTATTTTTTTGTGATCATGCCCTGTTAATTATGTGTTGTTGTTTCAGCATCCTGGAACAACGCCCAGATTGGAGTACAGTAATCGACCCGACGGTAACACAAATGTCGTTGAGGAACGATGGAGTACGAGGAGCTCCGAAGGAAAGCTTGAGTAAAGTATTAATGGAGATTGTGGAGCAAGAGGGGTTCCAACCAATGTGGAATAAGATAATTGTGTTGGCATGTGTGATTGCAGTGTCACTGGACCCTTTGTTCTTGTACATTCCAACTATCGATCAGGAGCACAAGTGCTTTGAGTTGGACAAGAAGTTGAGGGTTTTGGCTCTAGTTTGGAGATTTATTTTTGACCTAATTTACGTTATGGATATCGTCTATAACATTGCCAAAGCTTACAAGGTGGAAAAAAGACGAGAGCCGCCAAATTCGGAAATTAAGAAAATAGGTATTCATTTGGTTAAGAGTGGCAGGATTTCTTGGAATCTGATCGTCGTAGACCTTCTTTCCATTCTTCCCATTCCACAGGTATCTACTATATGAGCTTTAAGATAAAAATAATCAACAAAAATAAAAAAGAGAGCAGGAAAGTAGAGAAAGAAAAGATAAAGAGGAAGACTGTAGTCTTTTTCTTTCTCTCACCACGAAAAAAATAAATGGTTTCAAATTTTCTTTTAGAAAAGTAAATTCCACTAACATTTTAGAAAAGTACTCCTTTTTTTAGTGTCTTTTTTTTTTTTTTTGACACCGTGAAGCAGCAGAGCAGAAGACTACATGGGCATTTTTTGTGTTTTTACGTTTTTCTTGAAGTGATTTTTGTACTCCCAAGCAATTGGAAGTTAATCGCTTTTCGAAGAAAAAAATAAATCTATTTTCCAACACCCATTTTTTCTAAAACATATTTGTCTTTTTTTTTTTTCCTCAATATTTTTGTTTATTAAATATGCAAAGTTGAGTTCAAACTTGAAGTATTCTTAGACTCCGTTTATTTCACCGATTTGAGTTTTGTTACAGTAAAAAACTTTCAGAAACAGTCACATTTAATTTTTTTGCTACAATAAAAAGCTCTCACATAAAATTACATCTCAACTTGAATTAAAAACTCGAATTAGCGAACTAAACGGGCCCTTAACATCTTTTGATTCCGACAGAATTTGAAGGACATTCCAGATATATATATATATATATACACACACACACACACACACTCTGATTGCTGCTCTTGAGCAACATTATCGTACATATTCGTGTTTAATATTCGAATTAATCTCCATAACAAGCTAGGCAATTGATTTAGTTCCCATATATAAGGATTAATAATGCAATTTTGTGGGCAGGTAGTAATATTGGTTCAGTTGACAAAACTGAGGGACATGGGATCTCTAGAAATGAGGAAGTACCTGAACGTCATTCTTTTCTCGCAATACGTCCCAAGAGTTCTCCGAATATACCAATCATGTAAGGAACTTACTATGAATTCAGACAAACTCACCGGAATCGTATGGGTTAGGGGCCTGTTCAACCTTTTTCTCTACATTCTTGCCAGTCATGTGAGTGAAATTATATATATATATATATATATATATATACACACACACACACACACACACTTTATATTCTTCCTCTAATTAATTAGTTATTTGCTTATTTTAGTTATTTGTTATATTTATTATATTAGATTATTAGTTTTATTGTCACTATTATTTACTTATTTTTTTACCTTTAATTTTAAGGGTAGAATTGTTTTTTACTTGTTTCTTTATTACCGATGTATATTTTATTAAACAATTCAAGAAACCCGTAGCTTTTTTTCCCCAATTTGATTCTTAGAATTCACAATATTTTCTTTTAGGTAAATATGGCTATTTGCAAGTTCTCTTTTTTTTTTTTTTTTTTTTTTTTTTTTTTTCTTTTCACTCTAAGCTTTTGATGGAAGCGATGTTAAGTGATAAGTAGTCCATTATGCTTACCTTTATTTTATTCAGAATTCACAAGAAAAAGAAAATGTCATATCTACATTTTTATAATTATTTTTTCTTCCAACATTCAGTATTTTATTTTTAACTTATAGGTATTCGGAGCCTTCTGGTACTTCCTATCTTTTCAACGAGAAACAGCATGCTGGCACGAAGTTTGTGCAAATACTCAAAACTGCCAACCTAGAAATCACTGTGGCGTTGAAGAACCTTCTAGATATATTATTATCGAAACTCTAAATTCTTCTTGTCCAATAAAACCAGAAAATGCAGATCGTTTCGATTTTGGAATATTTCTTGAAGCCCTTCAATCCGGTGTGCTGGCTCCAAATATTGATTTTCCGCAAAAGTTATTTCACTGTTTTTGGTGGGGCCTTCGGAATATGAGGTATTTTAGTACTTACAACCCGTTTGGTTGGAAGATTCGTTCTCTAATTCGAATCATGGTTCATGATTCGTTAAAGTATTTTCTCTCACAAAAAACACACGTAAATCAAAAATGGTTCTAATTCATGAACCAAACGGGCTCATTACCTTACTAACTCTTTGACCATAGTTCACTTCACGCTAATTATTTCCAAGAGATAAAAACATTAGAATGTGCTTAAATAATTATTATAATTGATTTAATTCCTCAATTCATCAAATGGAAATATATATATATATATATATATATATCATGTATAGGATATAGAGCTCTATTAATTAATCCAAAACTAAAGAGATAGCATGATTGTTGATTGTTATGAACATTTGTTCTGTTATCAATCAACCATTAACTAAGTTCCACTGTAAAGTAATTTTTATCCACTTTGTTTGTTTGTTCCTTTCTTTTTTTTAATTACCCTAAACTAAAAGTTTAATCATGGAGTGCGGAATCAACAATAATCTATTACCACATGTGTGTCAGTAAAATAAAACGTCTCATGCAAATGGTAAAATATTGGCTCTCACATTAATATGCAAAAATTTTAACGTACTAATGCATACGTACCAACAATGATACATCATATGAATTTAAATTATAGGTATATATTTCTTTCTATAAGCGCTCACGTATATATACGCACACACGGACATTTATATGTGTATTGTACATATCACATGTTATGTAACGTTTGTAGCTCCTAATTGAATGATACATATTATACTGCTTCACCAATAATTTTGCAGTTCGCTTGGCCAAAACCTCAAAACAAGTACGTACGTATGGGAAACCATGTTTGCAGTTTCAATTTCTCTCTGTGGTTTGCTACTGTTCTTATATCTCATTGGAAATTTGCAGGTTGGGTTTTTTTTTTTTCCTTTCATTTCAAACTTCACATATTTCTTTAATTCAATTATGTAACTCAAGTCACCTGAAAAATTTTATATATATAGGGTCTTGATCATACTTCATCCCTTAAAACTGAAAACCACCGATTTGTGGCTTCGTTGTGTTAAGAGGATACAATATATTGGTTGGACAAAAATGAATGCGCTAATTGAAGATTAGATTTTCTCAAAATCAGAAGGCTCTACATAAGTATTGAATTGCTAATTTAATCTTGTAAGGTGCATGAAGACTTTCTTCTGGAATTTGAGATTTTTTTTTTTTTTTTGGCACTGAAAATTCTCGAATTGCCCCACAATAATGTATTCTTTGAGTGGTAGAAAACCAACTAATTTACTATCTACACTTGCTCAATTGTTTTTCATTTTTGTGAAAACATGCATTAACTATGTGTTTCCATCAAGTGTTTATCAATATTATAATATAAATAAATAATAGCATTTACATCTAAGTATATCTGGATTTAGTAAGTTTATAAGCGTTTTTCTCGTTTTTCTTTTCCTGGTGGCAGACGTACTTGCAGTTCGCAACCACAAGATCAGAGGAGATAAGAGAGAAGATGAAACTGAAAGAACGAGACATAGAATTGTGGATAAACAAAAATGGCCTTTCCAAGCATATGAAGGGATCGATCATGAAGAGTGTGAAATACAAGTTGCAGGAAAACAAAGATGTGGATGTGGAGAATCTGTTCTCAATACTTCCCCTGGAAGAAAGGAAGTCTATAAAGCGCCAACTCTGCATCCCCACAATAACCAAGGTAATTGATACTATTTTGTTCTTAGATATCCAAATTTTGATCCCAGAGATCCAAAATTATCTATCAAATATTCGGACTTGTCTACAGTCCCTCACTTTGAAAATCGAGGACAAGTCCTTCATATGCCCTCGTAATCGTCCCATGTGTCATCGTAACCGACTGAAGGACTAACGTAATTTTCTTTGTATTATGTCGTAACAGTTACTATTTTGAAAACCAGAAATCGTTCTTAAGCATATAGCAATAAACGACTGTCATGCACACCTATCATGAATTATTACATGAATAATATTAAAAGGCATGTCAATAAACGCTTTTCATTTTTAATATGAATAAAATATGCACATATGTCATTTTTACTGTTAAGATCAGTCATTCCATCGTAACCAACTTTTTTTTTTTTTTGTAACTTGAATAATATTGTCGTGAAGGGTTACTACATCTGTCATGTTCTTTTTTTGATAGGCATGTCCAATCATGCATGAACTTTTGTTTGGAGCAGTGCATGACAGTTGTTTATTGCCATTTGCTTAAAAACGATTTTTGGTTCCTAAAATAGTAACTGTTACAACTAAATACAAGAGAATTACGCCACTCATTCAACCAGTTACGATGGGAGAAATTTCTCCCATAAAAGTTGTGGGGGACCACAGAAAAAGCCCAAATTTTTTATACCAAGCGAGATAACAAATGAGTTGTTAAATTTCAATTTGCTACTGAATGCAATATAGTTGGGATGTATTAACAAGTTCTGATATCAGCTATCTTCTCTCACCATTGAAAATTGGTAAGTATAAATAGATTGAAACATGGAATCCCTATGATAAATATCTTTCCATTTAATTGTTATCAAATAAAACACATAACATACGGACAATCTTTTTTGTTGAATCGCAGGTTCCAATGCTTGAAAACATGAATGAGCAAGTGTTAAAAGTGATCTGCGACCACCTCAAGCCAGTGATTTACACTGAGAATAGTTACATTATTAGAGTGGGGGACCCAGTAGATCGGATGCTTTTCATCACACAAGGCACTGCATGGGAGTACTTCTTAAACGAGGTTGGGATCAGTACTCATAGTATAAATGAGAGTAATAGTTGCTCAAGATGTACTACTAGGCGCATTAAAAAGGGAGATTACTTTGGAGAAGAACTTGTGAAGTGGTCACTGACTCACACCACCATTTCGGACTTCCCCATCTCGACCAAGAATCTCAAATCGCACACCAAAGTTGAAGCTTTTGCTCTCATGGCCAACGACTTGATGAATGCACTCCGCACACATTGGTGGCTTTTCAGGCGGAGCCTCACGCCCGACTCCACTAATTCTTGTGCCGAGCAGTGGGAGGCCTTGGCGCTTCAAGCCATACAAACAATTCGACGCCGTAATCAGCTGGGAAAGAAGCCTTCAAGCTCTCCAAATTTGGCTGATAAGGATGACAAAAAGTGGAAAAGATTTAGGCATGGACTTTTACACTACTAGTGTCATACGTACTATTATTGTTTAAATTTTTGGTACCATAAGGTTTAGACTATGATCAAGACCATCAAGTTACCTGGAGTTTGATATACATTGGATTTTGTTGAGTGTGTTTTGCTTAAGTTTTGTGTAGTTGAGATCATGGACTTTGATATGCATTGGATTTTGTTGAGTGTGTTTTGCTTAAGTTTTGTGTAGTTGAGATCCGTCTTATAAATGTACACTTTTGAAAAGCTTAAAAAACTCTCTCCATCTCTTCTTCCTCCTCCGTATTCTCTCCGTGGATTTGGGTAAGAAGAGTTTTTGAATGATTTCAAAGTGGTGGCGGTCTATGGACGTCAACAATGGCGTACTTTTAGTGAATGTTTGGTTCATGAATTCAGAATCATGATTCAGAACTATTCTCGAATTACGTGTGTTTTTTGTGAGAAAATTTTGCAGTGAATCACGAACCATGATTTAAATTATTGTACGAATCTACTAATCAAACGCAAGTTTAATTTCTTCAGACGAGGAGACCAAGTTAGAGTGCACAGCTTGGGAAGCAATTCTTGGAAAACTATAGAGATGCTGGACATTTCTCAGACCAAGCATTTATCCGTCGACTTAGTTAAGTATCCTTTGCCATCGTTTTAAAGTGATTACTTCCGTCCAATAGGTGTTTCGTATAATAGTAACCTGTTACTTGATTCTTTAATTAAACTCAGGTTTTGTGCTTTTATGATCGAAAGATTGATATGGTCCAATATTTATGTTCATGGACGCTTATAATATTGGACTTTTACGACTTATGTCGAGAGTCTCTTTTCAAGTTAAGAAAGAAGATGCTTTTTAATTAACCACACTCCTAGTTAAAGCCTACTCATTTTAATTTTGCATGTGTCGGTGGACCCCTGGCTTTTTCAAATATAATATAAAAAATATATATGGTATTTTAGCCTCTCAAATTGGCACATTAACGTGAGATGACTAGTGCAACCAATATGAGGTTTATTATAATTAGATGTGCATTAAAACTGCTTAGTATATGATAATTGCCGTGTTTAGAATTGTTTTTGTTTTTCATGTTTTTCAAAAAAGAAAAAATGAAAACGATTCTAAAACGAGGTTTGGTACAATTAAAGACAAAAAACAGAAATGAAAATGATTTTTTGATTTAGTGTAAAATGAGAGAGATGAAAAATAACTTTTAGTTGTTTTTCATTTTTTGTTTTTATTTTCTCCTCTCTCGAGCAGAGAGAGAGAGAAAGACATTAATAAAAAAAATTTCTACTGAAAACAATATCTTAATAAAACTACCAAACGTATTTTTAAAAATAATTTATGTCTGAGATTAAAAACGTGTTCATTTCTATTTTCATACAAAAAATAAAATTATTTTGGAACGAATTCTAAACGCACCTAATGTTTTTGCTATTTAAATTGCACGCGACATATTTGCTTGGAGAAAGGCACTGTGTTATTGGAATGAGTGAGAACATGGGTTATGATTTGTCTGGATGACATTTTTGTATTAGTGTGTCTACAGCATTAAAGAACGACAACTATGTAAATCAAAATTATCTTTAAAATGATATCAATGTCAAAAATACAACATCAAGTTAAAATAAGACATGAAATTAAAAAAAGATAGCAGTAGAAAAGAATAATATTGACATAAATGACAGTAATATCAATAAACTACAAAAAGATAACAGCAACAGCAATTGAAAATCAAGGAGACAACAACAATAGAACCACAATATAATATCAATACAAGACGATATCATCATAAGAACTACAATGATATCAATAAACAGCTTCAAACAGAAACGGCAATAATATTAAAAAATCACCGACTTAAAACGACAATTAAAGATAGAAAAAAGGGAAAGCTTAAGACCATCATGCATGTTACATAGAGTTTGATATAAATTAGATTTTGTTGGGTGTGTTTTGCTTAAGTTTTGTGCAGTTGAGATCCTCCTTATAAAACTCAAATAATTGATGCAAATCAAACAATAGAGTCAACAAATTCTTCTAATATTAATTTGAACTTCTTCCTTTCTGAGCTAGTATATAATAGCTTTTTGTATTAGTCATTTGGAATTGAAGAATGACGAAGTATGATTAGGTGACTAGCTTACATGTGTTTAAGTTTTAATCGACCAACATGAATTATACAAATTAATGTAACAATAAAATTCTATTGATTTCTATAGTCACACAAACATCTAAGTAGTTTTGATAAATTCAACTTATCTTTTGAAAAAGAATTTGTCAGATGGGTGTGTTAAAACATAAGAAAGTAAACTTATAGTTGTCCCACAGAAAATAAAAAGAGCTTTCCTCTTTAAAAACTCTATATAACAAGGTTAAAGTACAACTAGTGTTTTCTCCATCAATGTCTGAGTTCAAAGAAAAGCCTTTTTACAAAGTAAAAACATCTATAACTAGTATAATAAAAATAAAATATAATGGGAAAAAAATAACTTCGATGGAACTTTATGGCATTACACATTTCAACTAATATAATAAAAATAAAATATAATGGGAACAAAATAACTTCGATGGAACTTTATGGCAGTACACATTTCAACGGGAACATTTATTGTCACTAAAAACTTTTCATCCCAAAAAGTGAAAAAAAAAAATTGTTAATAAAAGTAAAAAAAAAAAAAAAAAAAAAAAAAAAAAATTTTTTACCCGTCCTATTTAATTTTGAAATCTTCAAATTTTTTGAGAACTCATGGAGCGGTCATGAGATTATATTATTTATTGAGAAGGGTTTTGGCCAGATGTTACCTAGAGATGTACTCTCCCAAATCATTCTTTATGCCGAGAACTTCAACTGGATTAAGGATAGAATCATTGACCGGAACTTGAAGGCAGAGTTGGCAAGAGGCTCATCCCATATTTTGATTGTTCTTGATCTAACACAAGAAGAATTCCATTTCATTAATGTTCCGCAGCAACTCCTCAAGTTTGTGAAGTTAGCCAGAGTTGAAGGTCAACTCTCCATCTTCACATATTTAACCATTCCAGCTGCATAAGTGTGCAGACTCTCAACATATGGAGATTCTAACTCATGGAGTGTCTACTACGTACAATATCAAAAAGTTTAATAGTGTGTTTGGTTAGTTTATTCGTGTCATGATTTGAATCATAGTTCGTGATTCGCTGCAGTAGTTTCTCTCACAAAAAACACACGTAAATCAAGAATAATTTTGAATTTATGAACCAAACGTCTACTTAGTATTCTCTCTTTCAAAGCCAAGCGAACAAACTGCTATGGTACTCGGAGCGTCAAGCATTGATCAAGCTTACTGGTCACACTGAGAGCATTGGGTTGATGAGTCTAAGAGGTATTGTAAAGTCTACAATCTGCAGGAGGAGAGCATCCACGACATGGATAAAGTACAATCCAACCTCTCCCATTAAGAGAGTTTGAAGGACCCTTAGCATTTAAACTGGTTGTAACATTTTCTTATGCATAGACGTTTCTTTCATTGAGTTCTTTTTATAGTTGTTAGTTATGCTATAATTTAGGTTTTTCAAAATGCAAAATAAATGAACGCCATTTCCAATTTTTAATTGAGTACAACTTTATTTTTCTTTCCTACGAATGGTAAGATCCCACCCTTCTTTTCATTTATTTATGTTTTGTTGGTCCAAGTAAATGCATGACAGTGAACGTATATCAGTAAACAACATTTAAAAACAAAAAAACAGACGGAAAAAAGATTAGTACACTTGCAAAAAATGGAAGAAAGAGAAAACCATTATTACATTAGCAGAATAGCATATCAACAACCCTAAAATTAGTTAAGGTAGAAGTGTTTAAAAAAACTGAAAAACCGACATCGACCACCTTGTGGCTAAAAACATACCGTAAAAAACTCAAAAACTCAAAAACTGACTTGAACGGTGGGTTAACCGATCCGTCTCTGTGTTGTGTGCGGCTATTGTCTGAAAGCAGCACTTACATTTCAAATCCTCTAATACATCATTCGCCCGTTCTTGTAAATGTACAAATTATGCGTAAAGCTTTTTAACTCCCTTTAAAGAAAGACTATTTCATATGAGCGCTAGCCTAGTGGTACCGCCACTCCTGAAGTCAGCTTGCTTGATAACCTGATTACCATTAATAACCCGACCGCTGTTCTAATGATTTTGACATCAACAAAGAACTTTCTACCAAAAAAAAAAAAAAGACATCAACAAACAACGAAACCCTTTTTTTTTTACGATGAAAGATGCCTAAAACTTGCAATGTTTCGTCCATGAATATGTAGGATTTAAGATGATGATTTCCACGAGCAAAGAACGTGTACAGACCAATTATTATTGAAAAGTCTCTACCTAGATGGTGAAAATTATCTACAAAGAGCAAATAGGTTTACACTAAAATGGTCGCCCGGTCAGGGGAAGAGGCTTCAGCTTTGCCTGTGCTCTCATCTTTGTGGAGTAATTGCGCAAGATGGAATCTAAAAAAGAAACAGCTTCGACGAGATGTTTCCCTTTGTTCAACATAATGCAACTTGCCCTGTACATGCAGATTAACAAATTGTTAGTCATCCTTGGTTGTGTAGCTTTGCTTGTGATAGAAGGAACAAAAAAAAAAAACAGATAAGAGGATTCTTGAATATAAAGCAAGTAATATAAGTTATCCTTCCAAAATTAAGGAAGGAAAAAAGGGGAAAATCCACCAAGACGACCTTTTTTAAACGAAAAATCTTAAGAGTAGATATCAAAATTGGTCGTGTTGTTGACAATATAAACATGTTTATATAGTCTGGTAACTTATATGGAATTTCATGAACAATGGATTGATAGCAAAGATTGACCGCCTACCTTCTCCCATTGGCCACATCAGTAATCTCAGCTCTACTAGGCACACCAGACTTGACAAATGACTCTAGAACTTGAGTAGCCCAAATGACAGGTACATGGGCAGCAGAGCAAATAGACAAAATTACCTCCTGTATAGCAGCAATCCTTTCCCATCCACACTCCACAGCAAGATCTCCCCTCGCAATCATAACCCCCAGCGGATTTGGTAATTTCATTGCCTCCAGTAGCATTTGAGGCAAATTTTCAAAACCACTTCTTGTCTCAATCTTTAAGATAATTCCTAAGTTCCAAAGTTTTCGCTTCTCCAGTTCTAGGCAAAGCATAGTGATATCATTAACATCTCGAACAAATGAAAACCCTACCATATCAGCATGAGTAGAAACAAATTCAAGATCCATAAGGTCCTTGGAAGTGAGGCCTTGAAACTGAATATTGCTCTCTGGGATGTTGATGGATTTCTCTGGTCGAAGTTTAGTGCCCCTAGGATTTGCATGGGTTATTGATACAATAATCTCCGAAATACTAGTACCTTGGATTATTCCCCATATTTTTCCATCATCAAAAGCAATGGGTTCTCCTGGCTTCACTGAATCAAAAAGAAGACCGGAAGAACAAGTTATCCTATGAGTACCTCTTATGGCTTCAGGCAAGTCAATCCGACTGCATGAGCTATCTCGTGATATGACTAGTGAGTCTCCAACTCTCAATCTAATAGATGGCTCTACTGCAGGGACATCAACAGCGTGTGCAAAACGGAACCTGCCTTTCTTTCCCTTGATATACAATTGTGTCCCCGACTCAATGTAAGAAGTCCTGCTACACTCAGCAATAAATCCAATACCACCAAAAACATGAAACTTTCCTACAATCTTGAGAATCCTTTTTGTCCTTCTAGCATCTTTGAATCTTACAGTATCACCTACCTCAGTGTCACAAAGGAAATCTGGGTTACTTAGGACGACAACTGCATCAGGAGATACATGGTTTGGAGGAGGCCCTGCTCCTTTGTGAGACAGCCACACTTGAGCTGGGAAGATCACATTTCCAGAAGCATTTCTCTCTGGAGATATTTTCATAACATGAGGACCGGGCTTTAGGCCAGCTGTTCGGAGCTTTGGGCCACCTAAATCCATGAGGATTTGACACGGTTTCTCCAGCATTTGAGAGCTTCTTTTCACTCTTCTAATTATTTCACTCCAAACACTTGGATCTCCATGTGCGCAATTGATCCTAATAATGGAGGCTCCAGTATCTATAAGATCAGTTATAAGCATTTCATTCTCAGTAGCTTCTTTTCCAACTGTTACCATAACATGACTAGTTTTTCCATCTTGAAGTGGGCCCATCAACAACTCCCTGTTGGAGTATGCCTTCTTCCTCATTAAATGTACTGCGAACTTCTCATTCCTTTGATTCTCTAGCCTTTTCTCAGTACAATTTCCTGAAATATTCTCTCTGGCGTTTAGAGAGTTGGGACTCAACTCCTCCAAAAGCTGAATGCCTGCACTGAGACTGGCCATAACGCATGAATCGATGATCTCCCAACTTAAAAGACCAATAGAAGAAAAATCTTCTTTGACCTGCTCAATGTCAAGGCATTTTAATGCCAGATAATGTATTAAGTTTGTTGCGCTCACCAAGTAGTTTCTGTTGAGGAAACCAAAATAAAAAAAGAACCTCAAAGTTAATAGGTTATGCAAAAAGAAGAAAACAAGACAAAAGGGATATTTTAAACAAAATAGTAAAGTTCTTTTGGCCCCTGGGAACTGACTTCAGTGGTGATGGGTGAGACGGGATAGATTACATTAAGTTGGCTTCTTAGTAATTTAAACCAAATCTTTTGGGGAAACCAATCAACATACTTGAAAACTCATTTTGACGAAAATTAATAACCACCTCCAGAGAATAGGTCGGGTATACCTGTGACATAGTTTGATTTGAGAAGCATTCCATTGTTCTGATGCTAATACATGCAAATGAACAGCCTTCAGCTTGTCAAGAAGCTCGCCCCGGTTTACCATATGATTAGCATTCACAGAAAAGTCTGATCTTGAATATCGAGCGGAGGGGTCTTCTTCTGCATCCGCATCCTTACAACTCTTGTTATTTCCCAAGGCTAAAAGGGGTTGGCCATCAGCAGAAGAATGCAAAAAACTGGCTTTCGGTTCACCGTCTCTATTGGGAAGAGCAGAAGCTAAAGTCCTTGGCTTTAATTTGCTCCTGCGTACCGCTAAAAACTGTACAACTCCCACCGCCTGTTTTGTGCAAAGTGCACATGGTAGATGTGTGAAGTTTGCCCTTCGGCTGAAAGAGTCGAATCCTAACTGATCAGCAGATAGAGTTGCCTGCAAATAGGACTATTTGTCAGGTTCCGAACGATGTTTCGGCATATAATATGCGATACATAATGTACAATAATTCTGCAAAAGAATTAGTACAAAGAACATGTTTTCCTATTGAGAGCTGAAGGCCACTTTACCTGGTTCCCAAGTTCCCTCGAATTCGCAACTACACAAGCTGAAATTGCGTTCTGCATCATCTATTTGATGATAATCAACAAAACACCCGGATAATGAACCTGCAAGACCCCCTATAAAATTTATTACAAAGAGAGAGCCAAAAAAAAAAAAAAGCAAAAGACCTTCGAAAGCTTTGACAAAAAAGACATACACAATCTCCAGCTTCTTCTATTTTCTCTTATTTTCGTAATAGCTATTTTAACACGCACAAACACACCAAAAACAAAAGTTGGAAACTTTATCACCAACCAAGAAAAGTCCATTACCAGACAATTATCTAACAATTACCTTATGAATTTTCAGAACGAAATTATGTCTACTATAATTCCAAGTTCCATGATTTCATTAGATTAGCAAAAGCAATTATTGTTTCTGTAGTAGGAAAAAAAATGGAGAATTCAAGCCAAACAAGATATCAACCAAACATTCAACAATCGAAACCTTCTTATCAATTTAAAGAATTAAAAGGGAACAAAAATAAAAATAAAAAAGGACCTTTTAGCTTCATAAAATCCAGGGAAAAAAAAAAGGGGGAACTTCATGTATGGAAATGGAAAGATTCGATTTCGAGAAAGTGGAACCTTTTAGATGGTCAAATGTAGGAAGGTAGGTATTGGGAAGCTCTCGGATAGAAAAGTAGAGAATTTTTCTGGAGAAATATTCTTACGATTTTCATTCTATATCTGCTGCTAAGCGTTTTGTCTGTTTCGCGAGAAAATTTTGGAGAAAAAGGCCAATGAGATTCTTGCGCTCTCAGGAGTGTGGATGGCGCGTGCCAGATACCGTCAAGATTCAACACGTGTAAGAATCAAGTCATGTGGAATCTAATAGTATTATTGAGGGAGAAAGAAAGAAATAGGCCAAGAGTTGAGATGAATTAAAATTAATAGGTCAATAGTTTACATCAGTTAATAAATAGGTTAAATTATTATTTTCGTCCATAACTTGTCTGGTTATGAACCATAACTTGACAAGTTATTATCCATAATTGTTCATAACTTGTCTGGTTATGAACTATAGCTTGACAAGTTTGTCCATAACTTATCTGGTTATGAACCATAACTTGACAAGTTATGACCTATTAATTTCTATAACTAAAAATTGACCTATATACTTTCTTAAGCTTTTCATATTGGCATATTTTCTATTATTTCCCTATTATTTATTATGACATTGTTTATCATTCAAGTCATATTGTTACAGTGTTTTCTTTTAAATAATTTTAATTTTAATTTTTTTATTATAATATTTTTTTTTCACATACACAATTTAAGTTATGATTTGAGTTATATAAATGAACACACTATATATCCTAAAGAAAGGCTTAATCATATTTCGATCCCCTAACATTTGTTTTTAACTTTTTCTTTCATAAAATTCCATTTGACTTTAATATTATTGAAACGAGTAATGCTAAGAATACCAACTCAAAAGGGATTAATCATATTTCGATCTCAATTCTTGTATACGAATTGATGATGTATCAATCTTAACTCTTATCATTAATTAACGTAATAATATTTTAAATACCTTAAAAATAATAATTCATATATCACATGAGTTGATACGAAAGAATTAGAATTTAACTTAGGGTTCTTAGCATTATTCTATTAGAACACAACCTACGGGTTTCAACAATCTTGCAAATTACTTCACATACCTGAATTAGGGGAAGTTTGAGGAGCAAAAGGATTTTTTTTTTTTCCCTTCCACAAGGAATTATTTATTGGAAAAAGAAACAAGTGTTTTAACTTTTTTGGACAATTTTTATTCTAATTAATCTACTATTGTTAAATTTGCTAAAAGAAAATCACTTTGAATTATTAAAATCCACAAACAAACAAAAAAAACTCGTTTTTATACGTCATGGACCTTGGAGAAAGCTCATAGGCAAAACACAGGTCGCAAGGAAGCAATTAAAAACATTTGTGACTTGTTCGGATTCAAACCAAAATTCAAATTTTGTAAGAAAAATGTTATAGCAGAAATTTTTTAAATTTAATTTTTTTTAGAGAAAATATTGTTTGAATCAAAATCAGGGTGATTTAAACTCTCAAATAACTTACACCTGGTTAGTCAATACTATTTTCAATTGTTTGTGCTATCGGGTAATCTTAACAAATACCTCTTAAAAGAACATGAATCAAGATTTTTACCTTTTACTCTTAATTCATAACCTTTTTAATCAAATAATTACACTAACAAAAGGTTATTTATTAAGAGTAAGGGATAAAAATCCAAACTCATACACTCTTAAGGATAAATTCTCCATTTTTTCTATTGTTGGAGACAAAAACTTAAAACCCGTTTGTAAAATATACTCAAACTATGATTCTTAATTCTAAGATTTAAAATTCATAAAAAAAAAAAAAAAGCAATGTAACAGAATAAGGATTCGTTTGGTACGAGGATTCAAACCAGAGTGATTCTAACCATGATTCTGAAACCATAACTATGATTCATGATTTTAAGTTCAAATCATAATTCTGAAACCATAATTCAGAATTAGAGGTTTGAATCACCTTAAATCAAGAAGGGGTGATTTTAGAAGCATGAGTGATTCTGATTTAAAACATCACATCAGGTTCTGAATTATGATTCAAAATCATCCAAACTAAACACTGATTAAGAATCATGATTCAAAATTATTGTAAATAAATACTGATTCTGAATCAGGATCTAAAATTATGATTCTGAATTCATCTACTAAATGAATCCTAAATTATTTGAGTTTGAATATATGAAATACGCAGACTCTTACAAAGACCACTAGTGATGAACATCACAATTGATAGAGAATGAACCCAACAGGTAAATTCCAAGTTGCGGGACCAAAAACACAAGAGGCAAGTGCAAGTGCGAAACGAACATTTTGAATCTATATGAAGAGGAATTAAGACGAAGATAAAGAGGATATTCGGACTAGTAGTCAGTCAACATGCCAATATGTTTGTCCGAGCACGAAAAGCCTGGATCATTTAATCAGATTAATCATAACATTCACGTTCATACATCAGAGTCACAAACTAATATGTATTACATTGTATAATTATACCCCCATCACTAATGCCTCTATGGCAAAAAGCTAATAACACCATCTATACCGTCAGTTATGATAAATACCTATTTCTCAATACAGTACTAATTTCAATAGTTGGAGAAACCGAGCACAAGCTGCTGCTCAAATAACTAGGAAACGTGGATTTCCCGTGCCGGGGGTGAAGAATCACGTAGTAAGCTCACCTCCCTCTTCAGAAAGGTTGGCAAGGCAAACGCGGCTGAATGCACCTGTCAACAACAAGCATGTCCTTGGTAGTAATTACATGGGGGTTCGCAGAGGTACTACTTCAAAAACAAAAGATTATTCGCGTGCCATTAAAATATATAACCTAGTTGTACAAATAACTTGACAACTTTGAGCGAAAAAAGAAAAAGGTAATTGGATAACAATGTTAAGATCAGTTTTCCCAACAAGCATGGTTAACATATATATAGTCTACTGCAAAAAGAACTTCTGGTGGTCATTCAACACCAAAGCCGGATCAGAGAATGGCTAAAAGAGTAAAAAAAATATCACGGATCGCAATAGTTGTTAGAAAGTAATTAGAAGTAAAAATTGTCATTTTTGCTTGTCGTATAATCTCATTCAACGACTACCCAAAACACATAACTCCGATGAAACTCAAGAAAAAGAACGCTATAAATCTAGATCAGTTGAAGCCATGCAAGCTTATCTATCACTCTTTTAACCACTACAAACAAGATTTAAGAAGAAGAGACAGACATATAGAGGGAGAACTCAATACAAGCTAAATCAGAATAAGTAAGGAATTCTTACATCTGAGTTATAGAACTTAAGTTCTCTCTTATGCTTGACAGCTCCTTCAACCTTTTCAATAGGGTTGACTGGATTCTTAAAATCGACAGGTGGCCCCTCTGTTGAGCATATCAGAAATCCTATGACACCACTGCATGACAAGTAATTTGAAATAGACTTCAATATAACAAGGAAAGTTCTTGGAATCAGCTACAATAATAGTTAAGAGAGAATGCCTTAAGGTTACGAGAAACTAAGCATGAAAGGGAAAGAGGAGAATGCGCTCTTACCTTGGATATGTCGGAACACTCGCCCATGCATAATGAACAGAGCCTTTGAATGTTTCACGGCAAATAGACATCATATCTTGAATAAGATGCGTATGTAGCCACATACTTTCTGCCATGTTACAGACAACACCACCAGGCCTCAATGCTCTGGCTATTGTCTCAAAAAATGGCTTCTCGACAAGCTCTTGAGCAGGACCTATAAAAAAGGAGGAACCTGATTTATTTACAAATCAATCCATATATCTTAGCCAGAATGAATAGCCACCCCCCACCAAAAAAATATATATGTATATAGAGAGAGGCATGATGGGTTTCCCATGCGATAGATATTATGGTACGAAAGTAATCAGGGAAGCTATGACATGTTCAACTTTCTTTCAAATTGAAATTATGGTATATCCCAGGTGCTAAGACAGCATACAGTTCCTTAAATCAGAGAGCATATAACGAGGTCAGATAAGACATTATCAAGGTTGAGGAAATTTGTACAATAAAAGTAATTTGAATGTGACGAAATACCATCTGAGGGCCAAATTTCACAATATTTTCGAGTGTCAACCACATAATTATATACACCCCGCGTATAACAATGCACAGAACCATATAAACTGAAATCAATTCCAAAGAATTCAAAGATAAATAGAGATAACCAACAGGGTAAAAAGATTTCAGACAGAATCATAAAAAGAATAATGGCATACCAACGGGATCTGATGAATCAACTATAATAGCATCATACTTCCCTTCAGGTACATGGCGCAGAAATTTAATAGCTGTCAGGATCATTAAAATGATAACAAAGGAATTACCACTTAAACAAATTCAATAAAATTCCAGACCAAGTAAAACAAGTAACTCGTTTAGTTAATCGTACCGTCATCAATATGAAGATGGACTCGTGGATCCTCAAATCCAACAGCTAGCTGAGGAAAAAACTTCTTAGACACCTAAACAAAAGAAACGGCAGTAAGTACGAAGTAGCCGTAGTTGGCAAACTCAGCAAAATTGTAAGCAGACAACTTCATAGCAACTATATTGCATCACCACTTACATCAATAACCATCTTATCTATTTCACATATATCAATATGCTCAATAGAGCTATGGCGAGAAATTTCCCTAAGAACCCCACCGTCACCACCTCCAACAACAAGAACCTGCACCATGAATTTTGTTGGCTTTTTTAATCTAGTGTCAAAACTGAAGCAAAAACTGCCATGTAAAGTCATGAAGAACTGAAAAGCATTCAAGTAATGCAAGCGTATCACATGTTTTCCCCCGAAATTAATACACTGCATGATTACTGGATCATGTCCAACAACGTTTATTTTAAAATAGTAGTCATATAAAAACTGTATTTCACAATCTAAAAAACTAAACTTGTTTTTAAACTTAAAACAACCAAATTACTTTTCCTCTCAGTCACCCAGAGGAGGGTCGAGAACCAAATGTTTTCCTTAACATAAATTGCCAACTTAAGTGCCGCAACAGAACCAAATGTTTATAATGTTTACTCTCGGTTAAAGGAATCCAGCAGGGGGAAAAAAAAAACACCTGGTAGAAGGGAAAAAATTATGGCTACATAATCATAACAGCAAAATGATGAGAAAATCATTTAGCCAAATGACAAAATAGTATACAACAAAGAAAACTCCATAAAAGATCTAGCATACACCCAAGAGTAATTACAAAATAAGGCAGATCAAAATGATGAGGATAGATGAAATTACAGATTTTGGCGAGGGGATCGAACAAAGAGGAAGATGGGCAATCATCTCCTGGTAAGCGCATTCATCTTTCTCAGTAAGCTGCACGATGCCATCAAGAACTAGCACTTTTCCATATGCTGAAGACTGTACATTAATGAATTGGTAATAACTAACACGTGTACAAGATTAAGAAAAGGACACGGTTAAGCAGCATGAAGGAACTGTTCAAAAGGAGAATTCCCAACCTCAAAAACCAGAATCTCTTGGAACTCCGACTTTCCCTTGAACAAAATATTTTCTACTTTCAGGGAATGGGCTTCTCCTGCCAAACATAAACAGGTAAATAATGTTAAAAAAAAAAAAAATGAGAGGGAAGAAGAAGCAGAAAGATAGAAAGAAGGCAAACTAACAAACAACTAGGATAGGTTAATAGGCAATAAAGCCATCACTAGAAGCTTTCAACAAGCATCAGGAGGTCATATAATGAATTTTCATTTAACTTAGTTATTAAAACAAAAACAACCTACAAGTGTAGAAACAACGTTATCAGAAGAGGAGATACAATTATGTAAATGCATACAGAGGGAGCCTACCAGGCCACATTGGGTTGTTGAAATAAACACTTTTTGTAGCTTTATCTGCAGAAAAAAGAAAAAACATACACAAAATTAATGATATTAATCTATTTAAATTTTAAAGCAACCGACGTGACTAAATAATTCTATACTGCACAAGGAGGATAGGACTAAATCAAACAATCAGAACCAAAAAATAAAAAAGGACAGTAGAAACTGACCAGAGGGAGACTTAGACTCTGAGAACCACCCAGAAACAACGGTGGAATGGCATTTAGCCTCAAGTTCAGGGGCTGAAGCCCTAGCCTTCAAGCAACAAGAAGGAATGGCCTTCTTGGAACCATTCCCGCTACTCGCCTTCCCATCCATAGTCTTCTGGCATTCCAAATCTCTTCCTGCGCCGCCCTCCATAAACTATCTTTTTCTTATCCGGCTCCAGCCTCTATTAGTTAATATACAAAATACCGCGTTAAGAAATTTTACAGTAAAAACACATCTATTGTGAGTCTGTAACGAAGAAAACAGGAAACAAACAAACACACACACACAATAGAGAGAGAGAGAGAGCAGTTTCTAGCACACGCACATTGCATTGCAGCGCAAGTACAAAAGTCTATTAACCTTCGCTAGAGTTGAGTAAATACAATAAGAATATTATAAACGATGACACTAAGGCTACGTTTGGTAAGACGGAAAGAAAATAAAGCCATATAACCTAGGTGAGGAAAATAAGAGGAAAAGGAAGACCTTTGATTCCTCCTACCAAACAACCATGGATACCAAAATCTTTCAACCAATTCCTTCACCCCTCTCCCTCCTTCCACTTTTCCCTTCTACCAAACAACGTATTAAAGCTTTTCAAGAGACAAAGTCAATTTGATGGCAAGGAGAAAACGGCATACCAGAAACGAACAAAAATATGGTTTCAAGCAAAAGAACTGAAGTTCTTATCAGAACATTAAGTAAAGGGAAAAACTTTGCTCTTACCCTGATTGACAATAGGGGAACTTGATACAATAAGTAATGCTTAACCACTTAAAGCCTACATTTTAGCTATATAAACTAAATGAAATCAGGTAACTTCCAAAATAATTGACCGACACAAAAATTAAAAAGAAAGTAAGAAACGAACAAACATGGAAAGATATCACCATTATTAGTCCTCAGATTTCAATAGTTAATAACACTTCAAATCGAATTTCTTGTTCAATAGTTAATAACACTTAAAAACATTTTTTTTTTTTTTTCCCAAAAAAAAAAAAAAAAAAAAAAAAAAACAAACAACAACAACAACAACAACAATTACTCAAGTAAATAGAACCATTCTTAATTTCTTCGGTCAAAACAGCAGAACAAAGAGTAAAAAACAAGCAGCGTAAAAATAAGAAAATAAAATTATGGAAAGTTCGAGAAAAATAAAAACTTCTTGTTTGGCTCCGACTACTAAAATGTAATAATGGAAACAAAAATCAATACTTTTTTTTCTTTTTTTTTTTCTGAAAATACCATTGGAACATTCACTATATCAATTCATATAAAAATGCAACAAATTTCTTGAAACTCTGTTTGCTTCTAAAGAAAAAAAAAATACATTAAAAGGGAATTAAATTTGTCGGTGGTTTAAAAGGGAAAAATAAAAAGGCAGTTAGAAAATTTCCAGTCGCATTCCAACGAAGGGAAAAAAAAAAAGAGAAAAACTTAGCTATTCTGGTATACAATTTCTTGGTGATCAAAACAGTCGGCTAGGGTTACACTCAATAGAAGCGTTTGGAGCAAGGATCTGTACATAGTTCGGATTCGTAGTTCGTTATAGTATTTTCTCTCGTAGAAAATACACGTAGTTCTGAATCATAGTTCTAAATTCAGAAACCAAACGTCCTCTAAAAGTCCAGAGACTCAAAAGATTGCACTACATCTCCAAAACAGATTGAAACTTTTTGGGGGGAAAGAGGAGAAGAGCCAAAGACAAATGGAGGTGTAAAAAAAAATGAAACTTCTGAATTTGGAGAGCCATAAAAATTGCATAAATAGATAATCTGAGGAGAAGATGGAGAGAGAGAGAGTGTGTGTGTGTGAGCAGAAACCTATAGATACAGAGAGAGAGAGAGAGAGAGAAAGAGAAATCTTGCCTGAATCCTGATGTTAATGGAAGAGAAGCGATGGGTTTCTCTCTGAAATTTGTGGAAACTGAGCGGGAAAGAAGAATTTATAGACGCACTTTTTCTCTCCTCTCTGTTTAGCGGTCTATCGCCTTTTAACTAGGTAGCTTGGTTTGGACGATAATGGCGTTTGAGCCTATTTTTCGTTTTTTTTTTTTTTTTTCCTGAACCAATATTTTGTTATAGACTTATAGTAGAGAATTTTTCCAATGTATATGTGAATTGTGATACGAGCAGAATAGTAATAAATTAATCCTTTTCAATAAAAAAAAAAGAATAGTGATAAAAAATAAAATAAAAACGGAATTTATGTTCTATAAATACTCATCACGTTTTTGGAACTTATATCTATGCCTTTTTTAAGATAATATTCTATAAGAAAATTTTCATTTTAGTATATCAAAATTTGACTTTAATACTCTTTTTTAAAAAAAATTTAATGTATGTACCTCAACTTTTTTTTTTTAAAAAATGTTAGTATCTCAAAGTCATTTTTAGGATACAAAAAAATAAAATTATCCTTATTATAAAAATTCATCCGTTAATTAAAATTGTAAAGAAAGAAAAGAATTTTAAAAAAAATTTTGAAGAGATGAATTTTTAAAAAATGATTATACTCTACATGTATAACAATTTTTAACATCCTTTTTTTTCTTCAAAATTTTTGGTCAACAATTGAATTTTTACAATAAGGACAATTTTGTATTTTCGTATCTTAAAAAATTATTTCGAAGTACCAAAAAAAGATTTTTTACAAGGTCGAGATATGGACATAAAATTTTTAAAAACAGAGTTTCAAATTTCAATATAACAAAATGTACCAAAATGAAAATTTTCTTATTCTATAACATTTTCTTTTAACTTTAAAATTTTGGAACCTGTCCATGAAAATAAGGGTCTCATTCATTTTACCGATTCGATTTCGATTTCAGTTTTGTTATAATTAAAAGCTCTTATAAAAAGTTACTTTTAACTTTTTTTGCTACAGTTAAAAGCTCTCGCATAAAGTCATATCTCAACTCGAATTAAATTTTAAATCAACAAACTGAGCAAGGCCGAAAAGAAAATGAACTGATTCACTTCTACTCAAAATAATATATTTAGTTTTCACTAATAGAAAAAAAAAGGACCTTATTTAATTTAATTTACTGGAATGACAAGACAATAATTATAAATTAGGATTGTAGAGTATTAAATTTTAAGCACATTTTAAGTAAAGAGAAAAAAAAAACATTCTTACCAATATATAACTCATTGGTAATATAGCTATAGTCTATATATTATATACTTTAGTATATTGCACCAGCACACCGTAAATTTTTTGGTCATTTGTAAGTACTCACTAGTAATACAACCACATATTATATACTTCAGGTTTATTGCACCAATACACCGTAAATTTTTTGGTCATTTGTAAGTTGACTCAAACTTTTATTTTGATCATTTAAGACCATCAAGTTTAATAATATAATCCAATCAATAACGTACGTCAATGAGTATATAAGAAAATAAAACAAAAGGTATGAATATGCGAGAAGGCCCATAATTTAAAAATATATATTATTTTAGAAGACTGTAAGAAAAAAAAAATGACAAATTTGAAATGTTATTTAAATAGAGCCAAATTAAGAGAATAAGAATACAAATTTTAAAAATATACATTGTTAAATATATATATATATATTTATACAAAAACAGACAAATTGAAATGCATGATTTAATCAAGACCCTTGCCTTGGTTGAACACATATATATACACTCTGTCATGTTTATTTTACCGATTCGAGTTTAAAATTTGAGTTTCGTTACAGTAAAAAACTCTAAAAAACAGTCACATCTAATTTTTTTACTACAATAAAAAACTCTCACATAAAGTCACATCTCAACTCGAATTAAAAACTCGAATCAGTAAACTAAACGGGTCAGTATTATGTATAGGTTCAGTTTTAATAGTTATTATAATATTTATTCATCAAAAATATCATTGTTTTAATTATGTGATATGAATTAAACGTATGATTGTAATGAATTGAATAATTGACTCAAAAAATTACAACAATTGATGAGAATTAAATTTAAAGAGATTATATTAATCTTTTAACTAATGCTTATGGTTAAGGTGTTGATCGATTACTTGTTATAGCAAGTCAAATAAAACATCATGCCCATTAAATGTGATCAAGGTATGCATTTAAATAAATAAATGTAATTTGATAACGTAACTATTGAAAACTCTATAATATGCAGACACTTATAACATTTATAGCAAAAGAAGATTTTAACAGACAAATCATATAGAAATTAAATACATTTTCCCTTCAAAAAAAATTAACAAAGAGGTAGTTATGATAAAATAAAGGACTAATGTGTTAAAATTAAAAGTTGAATAATCAAACTGTCATTATACTAAAAGTTTATAGACTGAGTGTACGTAAGATTAAACACCGTTTATTTTATCAATTTAAATTTAAAATTTAAATCTTATTACAATAAAAAATTTTAAAAAATAATCACATTTAATTTTTGTTTACAATAAAAAATTTTATACAAAATTATATATTAATTTAAATTAAAAATTTGAATTAAAGAACTATATAAATCCCTACTTTCGTCCTTTTATGTGAAAATATTCGTATTTTGAAAGTACTAAAGGTGGAGGAGGAGGTTAAAAAAAAAAAATCTAAAAGAATAAAATGTGGAACACGTTTTCAAAATGGTAACAGTAAATTGGACTTAATGCAATCATTTTACTTTCGTCCTTTTACTTTCGTCCTTTTGTGGACGGGGTATTGGGCATCAATTGCCTCCCATTTATTCAAGAAAAAAAAAAAAAAACTGCC